AAAAAAATTAAAAAGTTTAAAAACTCATTTTGGTCAACTGTTTTGCCCTTGATTATTTCTAAAATTGTTCTTTTTCTTAAAGTTATTTTCTTTTTATTTTTTCTGTTTTCCAAATACACTAAATAATTATTGAAAATTACAGTTAACTTAATTAATTACTATCATAAGTCACCATTATTAGGCTTTTTTTTTATATAGTCACTATCATTAGCTACTAATAACCATCATTATCAGCTGTTTTTTTAATTTTAAAATTATTTTCAGATCAACATGACCAAGCATATATTTCTTTTGCTCTGTTTTGAAATTTTTTTAAAAATTAATTTACAAAATAGCTTTTAAAAGCAAAACGTGAGACTGAACAAGCCCTAAATTCTCATAGAACTATTCTTTAAGATTATTTCCCCAGTTAAAAAATATTTTGAGAAGTTTGACATTAAAAAATTAAGATATTTTTAGAATGTTAAAATGTAATTAATGTATTTTTTTAAAAAGCACCCTTGATAAATAAATTATTTTATATTTACTTTCAAATGAAATATCCTATTAAATAAAAACAAATATAAAAATATGATATTAGTTTTAAAAAATTAACTAATTTATCAAAAAGTATGATTTAATTAAAAATATTTAATTTTTAACAAAGAGTACTTAAAAAAGGATTGATCACGCTTAATCTTAAGGCTTCACAATGCGTGAGAGGTGCATTTGGGGTTTGTGCTAATAATTGACTGGGCCATCACCCATCAAAATGAGTTCATTCAGTGGTCCACAGACCACGACCGCTACTACTACGAAATGTGGTCAAAACCCCCCCCCCCACCCGCTCCCCAAGAGTCAAACCCTTGAGCTGAACCGTATTAGATTTTCTCCAAAGCTAAAATATACAAAATTTTATAAACTTTAAAACAATCACGTATGACTCTCCTATTTTTAAAAATTTAAAATCAATTTTCTTAATCTTTTATTTTTTTATAACACTTTTCCATTATTTTTTAATCATCTTATTAATAAAAGTTTTCAAGTTATATTAAAAAAAGGCACTTAAAAACTTATATGACATCAGATATAAAGATGGTGATGACAGAAAAATATGAATAAAATTATCATTATGTTATATTGGATGTCACACGCTAGGTTATTAAATGTCTTTTTTTAATATGACATGATAATTTTTACTAATATAATTAGATAACTACAAAATATTAGCTGAGGATTTTATGATAAAAGAATTTTGCATGGTTGGTTTTAAATTTTGATGGATGAGGGGGACATTTGTATAAGAAGAAGAAGAAGAAGAAGAAATGTCTGCCGCGTGGGCTCCCAATTCATTCTTACAAGCGTGGCTGACCGTTAATTCCACTACCACATGCGGACAACTGTTGTGAGGTTCGCCGGGACAAAGAACTTGATTCCATGGGCTCATCTCAGTTTTCTGAGTCTCTCAACTGTTGATTGCGGAGATCATGATTGATTGTGGAGTCCTCAGCTTGTTCTCTTGAATTTTTACGAATTTACTCTCATTTCCTACACTTGTTTCCCTTTCATTTTTTGTTTCTGTTTCTTTAAAACTGAATCGAAGTTGAAGTCCCGTTGTCCATATATACCTGCAACTGCAAGACTCTTTTCGTATTCTTCAATGTCTATTTCTGATGGAGATGGCGAAGGTGACACTGCTAGTGGGGACAGCCCTGATGGAAAGGATATGGGAAAGGCAAAGCAGGTGGTGATGCGTCATTTTATCAAAGCCAAGACCAAACTCCGCGTAAACATAAGTAGAAGGTCTCCTGCTTCATCACTTTCCGCGAAAACGAATAGAACTTCTGGTAAGACGATTCGTGGTGGTTGTGGTGCGGGAAGCTGCTGTTGTTTTGCCCGCCCTCAAGTGATGGAATCGTTTGACGGGTCTCCGACGTGCGACCCCAACGGTTTAAATTTAAATTTCAGAAATTTTATAGAGAACAATGATTTCTATTCCAAAGAATCCAATCCCCATGTTGATTAATTATTCGTGTAATTGTTCACGCAAGACACGGTCCCCACAATACTGTTCATTGTGGTGCTTGTCTAAGGACGGTGTTGAACTCTCCATTTGCCGAAACCCCAAGCTTGAATAATGGATGTGAAATTGCAAGATTACCGGGCTCAGGCGGAGTTATAGAGCAACGAAGGAAGTTCAATAGCAGTAAGAGGGCATGCAAGGTAGGCCGAACAAGCTACAGATGAAGCAAATTGAACGAGTTGAACCTCTTGTTTACGCTACGGCATCGCAAGCTGTGATAGTGCTGGCAAATATTATGGTATGGAAATTAATTAAGGACTTCCTGAGATTGATGCTGATGCACCTGTAATATGCAAAAATATGCGAGAAAAGCACAAAAGATTTGCTTGATTAGCTGCGGAGTGGAAGAGGTTGACGAAAAGTAGACTCTTCCAATTTTTCCTGGAGCCTTCAATCAGACAAGGCTGTATACAGTAGTATTAATAATTTCTAACCCTGCTTCCTTCATTAAGTCGGTTTCCTGTTGGGGCTCTATCATTTGTTTCTTTATGTATATCCGATTTTTTTTTTTCCTTCTCAAAGGTGATTGTCGTTGTCCATTTATAATGCATGGCAGTGTTTCAACATACACAAATAACTCTTGTTGCTCTCTAACTAGTAGGATTTTTTTCACCAACATAATATGTTGATTATCTCTAGGGCTACTCTTGAGAGAATAATTGTGATGATATCAACTGTACGGTGACATTAGAAGAAACCTTGTCTATTTCATTTTGTATTAGAATATAGGTGTATGTTTATCATGTTTCTTATGTGTCTCTGCTTCTGGACTATGGCTTTAGACAATTTCACATGTTCTTCATGCATCTGCCAAGGCTGCTAAGTTAAAATACACAGTCGGTCATGTGGGGAAAGCTAGCAATGGCTGGATTAAGGAGAAATTTGTATTTTGTCGTGGTTTCTAATGATTTCAAGTGCATATATGTTAAAGAATATGTATGTTTCTGCGAACTTTTGGCATGATTATAATGGAACATCTCTTGCATGATCTCACCTTCCGTATGCCAAATATCTGACACAGTTCATTCTTATCCAGACGCTGATGTGTAGTTGATTTTATGGCATTTTGCATTAGACACCAACAGATGATGTTTCCTTCCTCTTGAAAGTGACTTGGAACTTTTCCTCTGCTTTATTACTGACTATCCATGTCATGTGCGCATTGTTTATTGATATCTTGGTTAGCTATCAGTTAGATTGAAACAATGTGTGAAGAGCAACATTAAGCTGGTACTGTACTAGTATTGTTTGTGGAGGAAACATGGCTTTAGATCTGTATGAAATGAAACAGGTATCAATTTCTTGAAATGGGCAAATCCTGTCTCTGAGCGAGTGAGAATCATCAATCATGTACTCCCTCCATCCTAAATTATGAAACACTTTTATGAAAGAGTCAGTGTCCTAAAATATAAGATACTTTGATAAAAATAAGATTTCATTAATGATACTTTTTCAATATTACTTTTTTCATATATTCTCTCTCTTCAATATTTTTTTAATCAATGGAGTATTAAATGAAGAGTATTTTTAAAAGTTTATATTTTTATCTTGAAAAATAAGGTTGTCAAGTGTATTTAATGAGTTTTATTGGTATGTAAAATTTTGTCTAAAAGTACCTTATAATTTGGGACGAAGGGAGTATCTCAAGTGTAAAATCTTCTTCCCCATGATTGAAAGCAGTTATTACATGATCAATGTTATTCTGGAGTAAGGCTAGCAGCAGCAGGTTTTGATGAACACAACAGATAAGAAAAGATACATATGCCCATCCCATCCAAATAGAATTTAGACCAGACACTGCTTGCAGCCCTTCGTCTCAAAAGCTTTTTGTTTTTGAATGCAACAGAGGAATCCCTAAAGCTTTTTTATTCCACTGGATGGTTACAAAACGGGAGCACTAGTGTAGTTTTCAAATATTATTTATATATCAGATCTTTTACTCTCCACCTCTCATTGGATTCATTTTTAAATTGTTGAAATTAATGTTTTCATAAAACTAATTAATTAATTTTTTTTATAAGATTTCACATTTTAATAATAATTTTATGAAATATAGAATTTTAATCATTTAAAAATGGATTCAATGGTTGAGATGGAAAGTGGAGAGAAAATGAAGAAAGGAAAAATAGAGAGAAGTCAGGTTCCAATAAAAACAAGTTATGTCACTACTGATTAAATCAATAATATTTTACTCCCTCTGTTCAAAAATACAAATATTTTTTGAGGAAGTTTGATATTAAAAAATATAAAATATTTTTAATCTTTTGAGGTGTAATCATTGTCTTTTTTTTTTAAAATGTCGTTATTGATGAATAACTTTACATTTATTGTAGGGTGTTTAATAAGAATAAATATAAAAAAATTGAGCTAGTTTGAAAGTAGGTAACTAATTTATTGAGAGTAAGATTCAGTTAAAAATGCCTTATATTTTTAAACGAAAGGAGTATATGTTATTTTTAATTACTTTATTTTTGAAATTTTCTTTCTTGTTTTTTCTCCTCATCATCATAATAATAAAATAAATTTATATTTACAATCACATGAACATGATATATTTTTATTAAATAAACTATAAATAATATGGTGTACTGTGTAAGTAATTTTTAATGAGGAGAAATTATTGCATGGATGTAATACATCACATCATTTATCTTTTATCTAATGAAAATATGTCATACCATACAATTGTAAATATAAATCGATTATATTGAAGATGATAGAAAGAGAAAGGGAAAAAAATTAAAGAAATAATGGAGAAGTTTTTGTCAAATATTTGTCTTAATTTGCATGATATTTTTGCCAAATATAGGAATAGTTTCGTTAGATTAGATAATTCATCCGTGCATTTAGAGAAATATAATAAAATTTTGGATGATTTTTTTTTTTTTCCTGAATGGATAATAGAGATGCGCTTCTATGAATCCTGGGAATCCTGTCCCATCAGGAGATTATTTTGGCGCATTAGTAGAAGCCGAGCGATCAGATGCAGTTTTGAGGGCGACACGTGACAACCAATTCATAGCCCACAGCCAAAGCGGGATTCTTTTCGGCTTTGCTTTGAGATCAAATAAAAAGCATGTCATCCACGTAATTCGAGTTTGACGCTTTTGGAGTGAATTTAATTTGGATAAGCTGTGGGGATATTTCTGCAAATAAGGAAGCGACGCATCAATGAACGGAATCTAAAACCGAGAGTGTAGGAAGAAGCCGGTGAAGAAGCAAAAGCCAGCAGGCTATATATGGGAGAGGATCGAGAGCCCGTGTTGACAGCTTCAGAAATCAAAGCCGCCCAATTCGCCGGTATGGTCTGCTTTACCTTTGCGGCCTCGTCCCCGTGTCCTTTCCTGGATTCATGCTTCGATTCGATGCTAATGAATAATATATTTATAAATATCACAGCTCAAGAACTTTAGATAATTATCCGCCCATGGTACTGTCAATGAATAGATTCTGGCGGTTCCACCTGACTGCTGATCGCTGAATCTGCAGTAGTCGCGTTTGTTTCCGAGGGCGATGATCATGATTCAGGTTGACGGCCACTGAAACAGCCGGGAATCTGAATCCGTAACTTCTCTCTAAGTCTTGGTCGTCAATGGTCAGGCGAGCGTGAATCCCGTTTAGGTTTTGCTGCTGGTAGCTCGCTCATCGAGGTCAGCGGTTCTGCGTTTGCTCTCTTCACTTTCTCCATTTTGGGTGGCTATGTCAGCACTTGATTTCTGCACCATGCTGCAGCTTACTCCGCAAATTTTTTTAACCCAAGCAAAGTTTATTTTTATATGGTTAATTTGAAGACGAAGGTAAGGAGACATTATCCTTTGATTGATTGACGGGTCCTGAATGGTTTTTTCTGTGCCACCGAAGTTGTTTGAGTATAATCCAGACATCCAGTCATATTGGAATTTGCTTTGATCAAATTTATTAAATAATTAAATCTTTTAAGTAAATTTTTGTCAGATGTAAATTTAAAACTAAATAGGCACTAAAACTTCAAATACACACCTGAAAAAAAGAACTTTGCATACACACGAATGTTCTTAAATTCTTTTGCTAGGATTTTTTTTAATATTTTTTATAAGCTCTTTTCGAACACGTGTGAAGGGGGGGTTGATATCCTTATTCGGAATGTACTGCACTGCTCGCTTACTATAATAAAATAGGGTCCCGTGAGAATATTTTATTATCTAACTACGGAGAAATGGGCATCCTTTATTAGTTTTAAGACATGAAAAATGATTTTTTTTTTAATGATTCGGCATGGTTTTGGATCATTGATATTTACTGATTATTCAAATTCTTGTAAGCTTCAAAAGATCGTTCTCCCTCCAAATGCTCACCAAGATGCTTTTAGAAGCCCAAATCTTAATTTTGTTAACAATATTCAAATACTCCTATTATATCTTAAAATTAAATATGAACTTAGAATTATGATTTTTTTAAAAAAATATCTAAGTAATTCTATACATGTTAAAATTAATTATAAATTTAAAATAAAAATTTAGTAGGTATGTTTAGACTTGAGTTGGAAAAATAGAGTTTGGAGGTAATTGATTTATAAATCTGATTTTAAAACGTAAGTTAGTAACAGTTGATAATATAAGTATGATTTTGCATTCATAATATAACATATTAACAGTATATGGGTGTTCGAATATTTTTTTTAAAAAAATTATGATCTAAAATTTATAGTTAATTTTGACATGTAATAATGGTAATTGAATGTTTTTTTAAATATGGTTGTAAGTTTATAATTAATTCAGTTTAAATATGTTTTCATAAAATTATGGCTTTACGCATTTTTAACTATATTAAAAATCAATTTTATAAATGATTTTAGAGAAAAAATAATTATTAATATATATAATTCTATCTTGCTTTGTTATTAATTTTGTACTTTTTTTTTGTCATTCCAGTCTCTTAAGTTTTTTTTTTTCCATCTGTAATGTTAATGCTTCAAAAAAAAAATTGGTATTGTTCGTCATTTCAAGATGCTCTATTTTCTGTTTTAGTTTTAAAGTTCTTGATTGTTATTTTCGGTTAATCTTGATGTTGGAGTTTATTTTGTTTTCGTGTGGTCAAGCATAGTCTTCACTTTCTTCTTTCATTTCTTTCTTATTTTAACATTTAATTTAACACCATTAGTTATCCAATACTTTAATATCGTTGCCATATCGTTATCTCTCTAAACATATTTAAAAATAGAATGACTAACGTTCCAGAGAAAAGAGTAACAAAAATATAGAGATCAATAATAAAATACAGTAAAATTATAGAGATCCATTGTTATGTTTTTCCGTAATTTTATTAAAACTTAATTTTCCAGACTCAAATCCAAACATACCCTAAACTACCGACCAAATAACAAAGGTATCTGAATGAGTCAATAATGGTTCTATGCCAGCAAAGATTCCCTTCTTCGAAAAAAAAGTTAATGTTACGATCCACGTTGGCGTACTCTTCCTCGTTGATCCCTCTCGCCCTCCCTTTCAAATTAAATCTTTCTGGATGCACTCCACAGGAAAATGTCTTCCTCAAGGCGTGGCCAATCGTCCAGCAATTCAGGAAGATCACGACATAGTGCTAGGGTCATTACTCAGACCACCGTGGATGCAAAGCTTCATGCAGATTTTGAGTCTGGTAGCTTCTTCGACTACTCCAGTTCAGTGCGTGTTTCAGGCACCCTTAGTGCTGGCGAGCATCAGTCAAGTTCTGACAGAGTAACAACAGCTTACCTCCATCACGTACAGAAAGGCCTGTTGATCCAGCCTTTTGGCTGCTTGCTAGCCTTAAATGACAAAACATCCAAGGTCATTGCCTACAGTGAGAATGCACCTGAAATGCTTACCTTGGTTAGTCAAACTGTGCCAAATGTTGGTGATCACCCTGCTCTTGCAATGGGAACTGACATTAGAAGCATTTTCACTGGCGAAAGTGCTTCTGCCTTGCAGAAGGCAATGGGATTTGGGGAGGTTTCACTTCTTAACCCCATCCTTGTCCATTGCAAGACATCTGGGAAGCCTTTTTATGCAATTGTCCATCTTGTCACTGGTAGCATGATCGTTGACTTCGAGCCTGTCAAGCCTTATGAAGTTCAGAAGACTGCAATGGGCGCTCTCCAATCTTACAAACTCGCCTCCAAAGCAATTACCCGATTACAAGCATTGCCTAGTGGCAGTATGGAAAGGCTCTGTGATGTCATGGCTCATGAGGTTTTTGAGCTCACAGGTTATGACAGGGTGATGGTGTATAAATTTCATGAAGATTATCATGGAGAAGTGGTTGCTGAGGTCAAAAAGCCTGGCTTAGAGTCATATTTGGGCTTGCATTATCCAGCCACTGATATTCCACAGGCTACACGCTTTTTATTTATGAAGAGCAAGGTTCGTATGATAGTTGATTGTCGGGCAAAATATGTGAAGGTGCTTCAAGATGAAAACCTGCCATATGATTTAACCTTCTGTGGCTCAACCTTGAGGGCTCCTCATAGTTGCCACGTGCAATATATGCAGAACATGAATCTAATTGCCTCCCTGGTTATGGCAGTTGTGGTCAATGACAGAGATGAAGATGGAGATAGCTCTGCTTCTGTACAGCCACGAAAGAGGAAGAGACTCTGGGGCCTGGTAGTTTGCCATAACTATAGCCCCCGGTTTGTTCCTTTTCCTCTTAGGTATGCTTGTGAGTTTCTGGCTCAAGTATTTGCTATCCACGTTAACACAGAATTAGAGTTGGAATATCAGATTATTGAGAAAAGCATCCTGCGAACCCAGAGCCTCCTGTGTGATATGCTGATGCGTGATGCACCCCTAGGGATTATATCACAGAGCCCAAATATAATGGATCTCGTGCAATGTGATGGAGCTTGCCTCTTATATAACGACAAGGTATGGAGATTAGGAGTAACACCAAGTGAATCCCAGATAAGAGAGATAGCGTTATGGCTGTCAGAATGTCACAAGGATTCCACTGGTTTGAGCACAGATAGCTTGACTGATGCCGGCTTCCCGGGAGCTGATGCTCTTGGTGATATGGTATGTGGAATGGCAGCCGTGACAATAGCCTCCAAAGACATGGTTTTCTGGTTTCGGTCACATGCTGCTGCAGAAATCCGATGGGGTGGTGCAAAGCATGAACCTGGTGAAGAGGATGATGGTGGAAGAATGCACCCAAGATCATCATTCAAGGCGTTCCTTGAAGTTGTTAAGTCAAGAAGTTTGCCATGGAAAGACTATGAAATGGATGCTATCCACTCCTTGCAGCTCATCCTGAGAAATGCATTCAAAGAGACAGAGATTATGGACACAAGCACAAATGCAATCAATACAAGACTAAGTGTATTGAAAATTAAAGGAATGCAAGAACTGGAAATGGTGACAAGTGAGATGGTTCGGTTAATCGAAACAGCAACCGTACCAATTTTGGCAGTCGATGTTGATGGGTTGGTCAATGGATGGAACAACAAAATTGCTGAGTTGACGTGTCTTCCAGTCGATGAAGCTATTGGAAAGCATTTGCTCACACTTGTTGAAGATTCTTCAGTTGATAGAGTCAAGAAGATGCTTGCCATGACACTGCAAGGTATTTGCTCCCCACCCAACCCCAAAAAACGAAAAAGAAAGTCATAATCATTAAAGCTCTTCCCTTTTTATTGATGTCTTACTATTGACAAGAAAAACATTTCATCTTCCTTAATTTCATCGACAAATATTGCATTGATGAAGAAATAAGAGAAAAAATAAGTTGTGCTCCTCAATTCACAGGTTTTTTTTTTCAACACCTCACAAGACTTGAGGGGAAAAATGTACCATTATGGATGTTGGTTTTGCTTATTTTATAGGGTTGGATAAAGAGAGCAGTGAATTTTTACAATCACGGGGATAATTTGTTTCGCCTGTTTTCCGTGTTTCTGAGCTATTGATTCGTTTTGTTATGATGCAATCAGGTGAAGAAGAGCAGAATGTTCAATTTGAGATCAAGACACATGGGTCTAAGGCTGACTCTACTTCTATTAGCTTAGTAGTTAATGCTTGTGCAAGCAAGGATCTTCATGATAATGCTGTTGGGGTTTGTCTTGTGGCTCAAGATATAACCGCTCAGAAGACGGTTATGGACAAATTCACTCGAATTGAAGGTGATTACAAGGCAATTGTACAGAACCCAAATCCTTTGATTCCCCCAATATTTGGTACAGATGAATTTGGCTGGTGTTGTGAATGGAATCTGGCTATGACAAAGTTAACTGGATGGAAGCGAGAGGAGGTGATGAATAAGATGCTTTTAGGGGAAGTGTTTGGTACGCAGATGGCTTGTTGTCGGCTCAAGAATCAAGAAGCTTTTGTCAATTTTGGTATTGTACTTAACAAAGCCATGACTGGTTTGGAAACGGAGAAGGTTGTCTTTGGTTTCTTTGCTCGGAATGGCAAGTATGTAGAATGCCTGCTTTCTGTAAGTATGAAATTGGACTCAGAGGGAGCAATTACTGGGGTCTTCTGTTTCTTGCAGCTAGCAAGCCCAGAGCTGCAACAAGCATTGCATATTCAGCGCCTTTATGAAAAAACTGCCATGAAGAGACTAAAAGCTTTAACTTATATGAAAAGGCAGATTTGGAATCCTTTATGCGGGATTATGTTCTCCCGTAAAATGTTGGATGATACTGAATTAGGGACCGAACAAAAGCAGCTTCTACACATTAGTGCTCAGTGCCAGCGCCAGCTGAGAAAAATCCTTGATGACTCAGATCTTGACAGAATCATTGATGGGTATGATATCTGTAATTTTTTTTCTTTTTTTTGTTTGTGAGTTTGTGAGCTTTTGTTATTGTTTTTATCTGGTTTTGAGGTTTTATTTCTCACGATCAAGTTCCTACTGAGGCATTGAAGTTCCCTTCCTCATGTTTGCTCTCACCAAAAAAGAGAAACAAGAAAAATCCATTTTCCGGTCCATGAGAAGCTTCAATTAAAACTTTTTGCTGGTGATCTTTTTATAAATAAAAATACTTTAATTCAAGTCTGTCTTAGCAGTCAAAATCTGAATTTTGTTTACATGCTCTTATCAAACCAGAAAAAAGGGGATAGGACTTCTGACCATGTCATATTCTAACTGGTGAGTTGGTTGCTCAGTTTATCTCCTGAAACTGTGAAATCAAATGCATGCTGCTAGTCAATGCTAGCAGTAAAAGCAAAATCCCTTATATAGCTGCCACCCAGTATTGCTTATTTCTGACGGAGATTTTGCCACAGCTGAATTAGTTTTTCTCCATATATCATGTGTGTTCTTCTTTGGAGCTCTGGACGTTCAAGGCCATGAAGTTTGCCAAAATTTTCATTTATCTCTTCACAGCTGTTACAATGTAGCCTTTGTATGCTGCTTTTGTAAGATAGACTGACAAAGTATGTCAGACAGTCGAGATCTTTGAAATAAGTATTACAATCTGGATGCCAACTTTTCTTTTGCTCAAATTTTTGTCAGTATGTACTATAACAATAGCACACTCCTTCATTTACCGTATGTTGACAGGTACTTGGATCTGGAGATGGTTGAATTCACGCTGCATGACGTATTGGTTGCCTCCTTTAGTCAAGTAATGACGAAGAGCAAGGCCAAGGGCATCGGAATAGTGAATGATGTCGAAGATCGCATCGGGGCAGAAATCTTATATGGTGATAGTCTTAGACTTCAGCAGATCCTAGCTGACTTCTTATCCATTTCCATCAGTTTTACACCGTCTGGGGGTCAAGTTGTTGTGGCGGCCTCTCTAACCAAAGATCAGTTAGGAAAATCTGTCCAGCTTGCCAATTTGGAGCTCAGGTAAGATACATATCATGTAGTAGTTGTCTGTACAAAATAGTCAACAAAAACTCAGCCAAATGAGTGTTTTCGTGGATTTCAGTACTTGAAACAAACACCCACTTTGGTGAGTTTCCAGTGGCTTTTTGAGTAGTCCACTGGTGCATGAAGTGTATATACAAGGATTTCTCTTGAAAACCTTTCTTTCTTAACTTACCTGTTTTGCCATATGCAAATTCCAAATATGAGAGGATAAATGTTGTGCCAACTAAAGGATAATGCTGTCACATCAACATATATTTTGAATTTAAGGGCTCATCAGTGTTCTTTTGATTGTAAAACAGTATAACACATGCTGGTAGTGGGGTGCCAGAAACATTGCTGAACCAGATGTTTGGGAGTGATGGACATGAATTCGAGGAGGGCGTGAGCCTTCTCGTCAGCAGAAAGTTGCTGAAGCTGATGAATGGGGATATCCATTATCTAAGACAAGAAGGCAAATCATCTTTCACCTTAAGCGTTGAACTTGCCGTAGGCCACAAGTTGAGGGCCTAGGTTTTTGTGGCAAAATGATACCTTACTGAGTTACTGTACTGTGCATCACAAATTCTATGGGGCAGGAAATGCATTCCTTTTCGAATTTCCAGTGTATGTCTAATTTCTTTCGTGCCTCCCTGCTGTCTGTTGTAACGGACAATGCAGATCGGCATTAATCATCATCTCTTGCCCCTGGGCTATTATTATTATTATTAATCTTTCTTTCGGCTATTTATACAGCAATTGACGTAGATCGTCTGTTCTTGTATAAATTGAATTTGGAACTTGTTCAATGACATTTCTTCTGTCCTTCCATCTATCTCAACGCACCGTCCAGTTGCATTGGTCATTATGCCAAACTCTTGGGCTTGTTGTGTCACAAGAAAGAAAGAAAGAAAACGAAAGAGCAAAATCTTTAGAAGGAATAGTGTGACTTTAAAGGTCTTTCCTTCTGTGGCATGAGTTCAGTCTTTTTAAAAAGAAAAAAACAATGATGATAAATTCGACATATTATAAGCGTGAATTCTTGGCAGTCGCATGAGGTGAGTTAGCCGCCCACCATATCCTTTAATAACCAGCAGTATCAATTATAGTTGGTCTCTAGACATATAATATGAATTAATTTTCAAAACCTTTTGCATTTGCCCATGCCGTTGCTGGACGTATTAAATTATAACGATGTTAGATATTCGACACTGTTGCGTTCGTTTATTTTGTAATTTGAAGCGCCGTGAAGAAGGCTGCAAGAAGGGATTGGTTTATGCATATAAACAAGATTGGCCCATGCCTAAATACCAACTTTTGTTATTTTACTCTATATATATTATTATTATTATTAGGTCAAGAAGGAAGTGGCGTCTTTTTTATGTAATTCTAATGAGCTGATCTACCACTCACTAGTCAAATCATATAGTGTTAAATAAATAGTTAAATACAATACCCACTAAACTTATTAGCGCAGCTTAACCCAACATGGATAACATAAACTGGGTTTATAAACTCACAGTGAACATACATAAATCTGGGTTCTAGTAAACAGAACATAATTTATGGAAGTCCACGTAGACATGGGCAGCATGTTACCAAAAGTTAAACCTTTCAGCGAGGCAGTATGTTACTGCGTGCCGTCAATAGGTGCCCCATCACATGGATAAGATAGGAGAATGTAAATTAAATGAATTACTTTTGGACAACTAGCAAGCCATGGTGGGATCCATCTAGCAGCAGAAAGGAGGTATCATTATATTCCCATGAAAAAATTTTACCCTAACCCGCCATGATATGCCAATTCCAAAGCACTAATTTCCTTCCTTCATCTGTGTGTGTGTGTGTGTGTGTGTGGAATGTAGCCCGTGGGAAAAAATATGGAGTGGGGACTGGACTTTTTAATGAATTATTGCTTTCCAGAGAACAATAATATGGCATACACAAGAAGTCAACAGAAGCGCCGTGAATTCCACAAACTTGTAAATTCCAAACTAGAAAATATTGTAAAGCGACAAAGATTAGAAGGACAGATCACCAACCAGCTACTTGTTGGGTTTGAGTCTGGACTTGATTTTGTCGACCATCTTGGTACCAACCTGGAATGTCTGGGTCAACACATGGTCTGGAACTGGCGGCGAGGCGGCAAACAAGGTGGTGGCGACGGACTGTGTGCCGGGAAATTGACTGTTGAAGGCTGCGATGACAGAAGCAGGAACCTTACCGTTGTTCTTTTGGAAGTGAACTAAGCCTTTTGGGAACACAAATATCTCACCGTTCTTGATGGTCTTTGATATAAGCTTGTTGGCTGTGGTTATGAAGCCCACGTCTAATTGACCCTTGAGCACGAACACTATCTCGGTGGCGCGTGGGTGGGTGTGGGGAGGGTTGAGGCCGCTAGGAGCGTAGTCTATGCGAGACATGGACACACCCAAAGTGTTGAGTCCTGGGATTACTTGAACGTTGACTCCAGTTACCGCTGAGCCAAACGTGTTGTTGGTAGGTTTTGGTTTGGCTGCAATGTCGGAGAAGAAGTCTGAGGCATTTACCTTTGAAGAGTCCTTGCAGGTGAACCCGTTCACTTTCACCCCTGTTTTTTCACATCCAACAGTTAGAGTTGCAAGTTTTAAGCTTCCATCACATTGTTTGATAACGTAAGTTTCAGATGTCTCCTCGGAAATCGTAACACAAATATGAAATAAGAGAAGGAAACAATGCAGTTTCTTCCGGATTTGGCGAAAGCATAGAAGTGTCAAAGGCTTCAGAGTTGCGTTTGAAGGAAAAATATTGAAGGATGATAAATTTCAGTTATGGGGGATAAAAAATAGTACTTTTTTTTTTTTCCTGAGCTTCATTGTCCTGGATGCAAACAAATTAAGAAAGTTAGCATCCTCCCCATTACTCCGTGCAATGTTTAAAACGACAGGGAGGGAGGGAGATTGAAGTGCAATAGAAGTAATACCGGAGCTAAGATGGGCAACACACAGATCTTGAAGAAGGTCGGGATCTGCTGCAACGGCAGTGGCTAACACCAGAGCAAGAGTCATGAGGAGCTGCGCGAAGACTGCGAGTTTCATATTTTAGCTACTTTATAAGAAAAATAGACAAAGAGACCAAAACGCCAACAAGCCAGACAGACTCTTCAAGTCTATAGGTTCACAGAATTGACGACAGGGATGGGGGAATTTGCTTGTATAAGTTGGGAAGATCTGGTGAGGGCGGGGTATATATAACAATCGTCGAAGGGAGAAGGCATGGACTTGTTAGTTAGAAATGAATGCTGTGAATTTAAACCACGAAACAAAGTGCTTGAACCGAAAGAAACGCCATCGGAGGCTAAAGGCCCATTCTATTTTGGGCCCTGATATCTGCCCTCGTCTTGCGTCACTTGCCCCTCTCACAATCAATTCTGCTTAGCTGGAATCGCAATTGCATCAAGCCAACTTCCTCCAACTCGTTCATCGCCTGATGTCCGGTTTAATGGACCGTGAAACCTAGAAGGATTCCTCATTTTCACATTAGATCGTGTCTTCTACGGCATAACCCTGTGGATTGGTTCCACACGGAGTCGGTGCATTTCATTTTCACTTCAACGAGTATGCATGCTGTCATATTGTCCTTGACCCTGAAATTCCTGGCAATTCTATGCTGGCCTTAACATCTTAAATAATTTGATTTCAGGCGTCTAGCATAAAGAGTTAATGATAGTCCTAATTGCCATGCCTCATTTGTCCTTCCTAGGAAAAGCATTTCCAATTGCCACTGTAAGCCAGCATCAGATCAGATCAGTTGAGAACAATACACGCGGGGGGGGGGGGGGGGAACCACCGCATTTCATCACATGCGAAACAATTTACATTCCAAAGACTGCAGATCTTCGATAGCTATATCACCCGAAGGAAAAAAAAAACACAGATAGCAGAATACAGATTAATGAAAACGTCAATCTCCCGTGAATAATCAGAGAATAGAACAAATCAGAGCTGAATGACGCACAGATTTGCCACGATCAACATGCAAATACCCCGATCAGATTTTTCACAACACAAAGCTAGCTCTTTCTCAACACCACAGGCCTGTCTTTTTGGCAGTCTGTTTAGCAGCACTGTCTGGTGTTTACTGTCAAAAGGGGAAATAAAGCCCTCGTCAAGACATGGATCACCAAATATAAAGAACCTGGGTTGGGAGTTCAGAAAGAATATTGCTCTATTATTGCAGGGCCACTACTACAATTCACTTCTAGATTAGTAATGAACAATACACAAGCCCCTACGCCAAACAAATCAACTACTGCCAGCCAGACCAGAACAAGGCTCGACGCATTTGTAAGAATTCTGATGCAAAATTGTTTATTAGTTAATAGTTCAGTATTATTATAATTTATAACGCCCAGCACAAATTATGAATCGCGTAATATCATTTCTGAAAGTCATCATAATTGCATTAAAACTTTTCCTTTGATTACTAAAAGTACAAGTGTAAATGCACATCTAAGGCTTTAAGGGCCAACAGAGTTATTCAGTTCCAGGTACCGAAGCAGACGCCCCTACATAAAGACAGGTAGCTTGAAAGATGTGTTAGCAATGCTCAGGTTGCCGATAAGCATGGGCTTCCACCATTTACTAAGTTGTGGGGATAACATCTTACGCTCGGCTGCTGGTTTAAAGGATCTAATCGTGCATTTGCTCCCCTGTCATTCAGAGTAACCAGGGATTAGGTAGTAAATTGGCTGTTCGAATTTCAACTCTAGGGGAAAACTTTTGCTTTCTGGATTACTACTTTCTTACTCGTGGAAGGCAAGACATCCTATCATTAACATATTGGAGCGAAACATATGATAGAATGCATATTTATCAAGAAACACAAATCAGCATGTTCAAATTGCTGACTCTGTACCTAATGACAAACATTCGCTTATCCTGATAAAAATACAAGTTAAAAGAAAAGAAATACATGGTACAAGAAGATGAAAAAGTGCATCATCTTGTTAGGGGGAGGGGGTTGGCAAAAGCAGACACAGCAAACGTGTTTTGGTGCTGCATTGAACTTGGCACAAACACACGCTAAAGATGTCCCATAACTTGGATTATGCACTTCAAAAAATTAAATCTGATAATCAACAATCATTACCCGTGTAAAGTGAGCGATTCTTTCCCTCAAAGAGAACTCTCATCATGCCCACTTAGTGAGTGATAATATTAAAATGTGGGGGAACAAACAATTCATTGTTTGATTTCAGATAGATCAACAGGCACAGAAAACAAAATAACAGTTTTTAACCCAGAGCCTTGCGTGGTAATACCTCCGCAACTAATTTTCTTTTCTTCACTTTTTCTGAGGCAAACCTCCACAACTAAATTTTACATATACATATATAATCTAGTACAACCTTGTTGACAAACCCATCATTTACATAATTTTTCGGGACTTTTAGACTTGAATGCATCAACTAATTGTGATAAAATGAGGAAAAAAATGATTCACAGAACCTCACTAAGTTATCGTGTGTCAAAATGTAGGAAAGGAAGAAAAAGGACCCAAAAATAAGTTTAAAACAAGAAAATTCAGCTCAAGAACTTTCATCCAAGGACGGATGAGACATAAAGGATTTCACCTGTAAGAACAAATGAAGATGATAAACTTAGAGGAGACATACCTTTCGTTTAATAGGTGCAAAGTAATTTGCCACTGGCTTAAGAACAGATTCCGATCTGTTCCAAGAAAGAGAAATTAGACGACATTGACCCAATAGAAGAGAAATTACTAAAAAAAAATAATACATTAAAATGAAAATTTCATTCATATATTAATATTTTTATCTTAATTTATTAATATATTAAATATTCAAAAATAAATTCAAATAAAAATTTAATAAATTAAATTGGAATTTAAACTGTGACAAAAAATCACTTACTGGCCTTGTAATGACTTGTTCTTTGCAGCTTTAATTGTTTCTATTGCCTAACATGAATACAAAATTAGAAGTAAAAAAAAAAGGATATATTCCAGAGAAGCCACAAAAACTCCTTGAAACCCTACTCACGCTAAGCCCCCATAATGATAACATCTAAAGCTGCATACCTTTGTCACCCTATCTCTGTTGAATCCATTCTCATTTATCAGAAATGCCATTAACTCCTGCAATGAATGCAACACAATGAAAACTACTTCAAGTTCTCAACAAAACCATAAGTATGCATCAATGAAAACACATACAAGCATTAACAGAACAAAAATGTGCATCCATGATTGTCTAGAAGTGTCATTAGTTTTTCAAGTTCCCAAAAAGGGTGGTTATTACTTCTTCATCGGGAGCAGTCCACTTAAGATCTAGTTGCTTTTCTTCAGCTAACACTGTTGGCTCCTTAAAAAGCTGCCTAACCTCCAGAAATGGCCAATCATCTGGTATCTGGTACCTGATAGAATGCACCGTATGTATTACTGATGATGAATTATCAACAGCATAAGTACATATCTATAGACTATAACCACACATTTTAAAGTAAGAAGCACCCAGATAGTACACTTATGTTTGTAAGCTACACTAAGTTTTTCACATTTTCTAGTAATAAGAAACAGCACCGATCCAATATTGACCAAAAGGGAATGCAGAAAAGCTTCAATAAATAAAGTAGCCAATTACCAAACAGATTTAGTCAGCTAACTTGAACACTAATCATGGCAAAAACACAACACAAAGACAAACAGATTTGTAAAGGAAAATAACAAAAACCTCTCTTTATTTATGTTCTCCAATATGTTCTCTATAGAGCTATGTTGGTGAATGAGCTTCAAAGCAGTCTTACCACCGATACCTACAGAGCACATAATCAGTTATATATTAAAAGCATATGCATAATGAGCTTGCTTTTGGGGGGGGGGGGGAATCAGAACTCAGCCTCTAGTCTCAAAATACAAATGGATTTTTTAAGGGACCTCGAATGCTTCCACAATAATCACACCCAGAAAGAATACACAAGTCAATAAACTGATCCATGGTCAGATTTAGCTCCTCCAATATCTGGAAAAAAAAAAAAATAGAAAGAACAGATATAACAGTGAAAACCACATAATTAATAAGTCACAATACAATGTCCTTCCTGGCCAAAAATAGGAGGAGCCACGATGACCTTGGCAACTTCAAATTCCATAACTGGAACTTTCTTTGAGCTAGGGCCCATTAAATGGCGAAGAAATCTAGAAGCCCCAAATGTTAACGAGTCCATGTCTTCAGAAGCCACTGCATAAACCTAAAATATATAAAGTTCACAATAGATTCCACAAAAATATATTTTTCTTCAGTATTTTATGAAGTTTGCTCACAAAAATAACGTTACACATGCCTTTCCAGATTTGCAAAGTGCAGCACACTGTGCTTCAGCTTCTGATGGCGCCTGTGTAAACCAAATCCTCATAATATGTTAAAATAAGCAACAACAGTACATAGTAAAACCATACAGGAGTAAAGCAATGTCACCTGAATAACAGGCACTCCCATGAGTGATAAAAGTCTTTTGCACCCTTCAGTATGCTGCTTTGTCACCTGCAAGAATAAGGAACAGGTAACATACTTCTGCAGTTCTGCTTGGTGCCCAAAATTACTGAAGCTTCCCGCAAAACAAATAATGATCATTAAAACATGCCCGAGGATGTAGTACCAAATCTTGTGGAAATAATAGGCTTCATCAAAGAGAACATGCAATAAACGATGGCCCACCTTGACTGTCCTTTTACTGAATTTTTCAATGTCGTCCTTGTTGCCAGACTGAAATGACAAGAAGCATTCACATGATACATGTTCAGTTTTAAAAATGTCATTGTCTCATACTGAAGTTTAACAATAAGTAAACTTCCTTTACAGTCACGTTAGTTATAGAAACACAATCTCATGTTGTCCAATGATAAAAAATAAATTAGAAGAGATTTCAATGTCATGTTCAGAAAGTTGGCTTTTTTTTTACAGAAAATAAATTAGAAAAGGTTTACGAGCCAAGAGTAATTTAAAAAAAAAAAAAAGCGCCGTATATAATTTACCCAGAACCCAATACCAATTCACGTAAATTACTCTAAAAAATTAACACAAAAACGAACAGAGGAAAGTCAATAACAAATTATGGACAAACCTCTATGGCCTCTGACAAATCCTCATAAGCTTCAGCTCTCTTTGAGTAACTATTACAAAGTTAGCATATATATTGCTAAAGACTTCAATTCAATATTGCGCCCGCAAGAAAAATAATTTTCGAGCAATACCAAAGCATTAACCTCAGTACCGTTTAGCCAGCTCTTGCTGCTTCAGATCAGGCGGCTTCCCATCAAAAACATATCTGAGTATCATTGAATAATAGAATATGAGAGAGAACAAACAATTTATTGAATGGTCGAGGGTTACAAGGAAGAAAAGGTAAAGAACTATTTACACTGGTTCCATTCCGGCTTCTAGAAGTCTAACTGTCCGGGTAAACATGCCTTGTAAATGACTACAAAATAAACCGCCACAAAATCAATATAGACACTCATATAACAGAATGAAGAACAATGAGATTGAGTTTCCACAGTAAGGCGAAGTAAAATTATTTCTCGTCAGAAATTGACTCAGTTCATTGAGGAACTCTCAAGGGATTAACCTAGTTACTTCACCAGCCTCATTAGTAAGCAACTCAGTCCCACTTCTTCCCACGACAACCTGCATCGAATCAAAGGAACCGTTCATAAACAAGGCTTTCCGAATTGTATAGACATGAGCAATTGTGATAAGAGGGGAGCAGAGTGGCGAATGAAGAGTACGGACAAGGAACTGGTAAATGCTCATACTAGCGTCAATGGCAATCTTGCGGCCAAAATAGCTATGGAAGCTACGCTCCTTCACAGCTTTGGGAGCATTATCCTTTAAAAGCTTTGTCAAACCCTGAAAGCCCTCAACCACAATGGGAAATGAGTTACTAATAGAACAGACAGAAACTCGAACAGCCTGAAAACGCGGTAACGAAAGATTGGATACCTTTATCCCCATTTTATTAGTGTCGATGAGAAGTGAAATTGAACAGCCTTTCGGAATGGACGAACGAGCTGCTTCCCGCCCACCTGACTATAGATATAATGAATCCCAGTAGAGTGACTTCCACACAAAACCCTGTTTAATGAATCGTATCGTATGTCCTTCGGACCTTATGGACTGAGCCCAGCGCGTGACGCGGGAGATACAGTTCGACCCCTTGCCGCCCGGCTTTTATTTCATTATCTATTTTAATTTTAATTAATTTGTTCAATTAATTTTAATTTAAAATATAAACAATATAATATATAGTGTGTGTAAAATATTTTTATTTTACTTTTTATATTTATTATCCTACATCTTTATCTAAATATATCTCTTATTTATCATAGAATAAAATTAGAAATAAAAATAATAATATAAGACATGTTTGGTAACCTAGTTTAAAAATAATTTTCTATTCTTTAAAAAAAAATAAAAAAATTTATTTAATAATATGTTTTTAAAAAGTATTTTGAGGAATATAAAAATAAATTATTATTTTAAAAAATAAAAAATAAGAATATCTTTTAAATGTTTTGAAATTATTATTTTTGAGAAATAAAAAAAATGAAAAAAAATATTCATTTTTATTATTTTTTGTTTTTAAAATATCTTCTATAAAATATCAATTCTCAAAATAATAAAATAACAATAATTTGAAACAGGTCCATATATTCTTATTATAATTTAGATTTTAAGGATATACAAATTTTTTTAAAAAAATTGCTTATATTTTAAATATGAGGGATTACTTATTATTTCTTTTATATATAAAAATAAAATTACTTATTCAAAATCTTAATTTTATATAAAATTTTAATTTAATTTTTAAATTTAATAAAATATTTTTTAAGCCTTCTAATCTTAATATTATTAGTTTTAAATAACAACTTTTCATGTCAATTATTATTATTTAAAAATTAATATATTAATATTCAATAATATTTTATGATTATTTAAAAGTTTAATATTTACAGTTTTTTTACTGAAAGTAACTAGGATTTGAAGGTTAAAAAATATTTTATAAAAGTAATTAACTGAAATAAAATTCATGTGTCCTCGTTTAATATGATTATTACGCTTCCTTTTATAAAAAAAAATTATTGATGCGCGGGTTTTTTGGACAGGTGGCTCGGCCTTGGCCAAATTTGGCCTGAAACACGATTATGCATGGCAACAAATATTGTGAGAATTCCAACATGCATCTTTATCCGTTTCCAAAGACATTGGGGTCTTTGGATCGTTGGATTTGCATGTTATAGGACATGTTTAATTATCAAATATTGTGAGAATTCCAACATGCATTTTTATCCGTTTCCGAAGACATTGGGGTCTTTGGATCGTTGGATGTGCATGTTATAGGACATGTTTAATTATCCAGTTTTTAAAACAGTTTTTTTTAACAAACAAAAAAGTAAAAAATTGTTTAAAAATATTTTTATATTATTTGTTTTGAAAAAAATTAAAAATTATTTAAAAAACAAAGCATAAAATGCAACAAACATTGGCCCACTTTGACTGTCCGTTTACTGAATTTTTCAATTTCTTCCTTGTTCCCGGACTGAAATGACAAGAAGCATACACGTAATCCCCATTTAGTTATGAGAGAATTACAAGTGAGTCTAAAGGATCTAATTAATTTAATTTAAATTTAAAATATCAAACTTTAAGAATTTATAAATTTAACTTTTAATTTTGTAATTTTATTATGATAAGTTTGTAATTTATATCCTAAGTTTTAACATGGAAAATAAATTTATTTATTTTTTAATCATATTAAAATTTAAAAAACAAGTTGTAAATTTATCACAATAAAATTACAAAATTAAAACGTTAAAGTTCATGGAGTTTGACGCTTGAAATTCAAGTTAAACTAGTTAATCCTTTTAAGATCCCTCTATCATTTTGCTTTTAACTATTTAATTATTTTTTAATGTAAACTAAAACACGTACTAACTCAAAAGGAAAATACAACCAAGTGGTTAAAGTGCAAGGAGAGTGACACTTAAGTCCCAATTTAACCATTTTATCCTAATAAAGTTTCAATGAAATTCAAAATGCGAAGAAAGTCTCTTAGTCCTCAATTGAACTTTTGACTAAATTTTAAACTTCCAAATTTGTAACCTATTTTTCTAAATTTTGCAAATTCATTTATTTTGATTTGCAACTCGGTTTTCCAATCTAAATTGAGAATGCGATTTTTTAATATTTTAACATTAAAGAATTTGCAACTTATCATCTCATATTTGCAACTTTTTCTACTATTGTAACATCCCAAAAATTATCATATTGATTAATTAAGCTAGTAAAGGGTAATTATATAAACTTAAATATAACTAAGTTTGATGATAGTTAAAGATGGCTAATAAACCTATTAGGTTTAACTATAATTATTGGAATGTGTTTGGAAGTGAACTGGATTACTCAGGCTCAAATTAAAGCGAGAAAGTCATAATTTAACCCACTATGCATTACGCTGCAACGTAATTTCAAAAATCAAACTTAAGAAGGCATATGCGTGTGCTAAAACATAAAGAAAAAAGACGATAATGAAGAGGCTCAAGATTCTCCCTACTAAGGCACGATTTTGCTAGTGTTTTAAGGAGATTTAGAGCTTTTAATTAATAAAGTAAGCCTCTTCTGCCATTCTTCTTCCTTTCTACACCATTTTTAAGTTAGTATTGGTAGTTAGAGGATGATTTCCAGACCTTAAGAGTTTTAGGTCTAATCTCATTAGCTTAAATAGAGTTAATGAGAGTTAATTGAATTATCTAAAACCAGGGATGGTGGTTTTATGCGTCTATAAAAGTGAACTCTCAATTATGGATGAATTTGTGCATTAATGTATCATTAGTGATGAAGGTTTGGGTTGTTGGAAGTCACTAATGGTGGTAGATAGGTTTAATAAAATTAGTTTAAACTAGTAGGAGTTAATAAACCTTATGTAGTTATGAAACTCAAGAGTTGAGAGTTTTTAGTAATTAAAATGTTAAAACTTGAGAGTTAGAAGTGAGTAATTTATAACATTGATGATGATTTTAAATTGTTAGATTATATATTAGTGATTATTTAAGTTATTAAGAACTAAATAAAGTTAATGAACTCATTAGATGCGAGGTTGATACTATAATTGAAAATTTTAATTATTAAAGTATGAAATTAGATATTGAAAGTGGTAATGTTGATCATTATTAATTATGAGTGTTAATATTAACTATAGACTAACCTTGTGAAGCACTGGTGAGTTTAAATTTAGTTCAAAAAATAAGTTGTGATTGAGAAGTAACTCTTGATCTTTTAAAAATTTTAAGGTAGATAAGGGATAATTTACTTTTACTTTTATGCGTTAATTAGTTACTTAGTTTATATAAACTATTGTCAAGATATGTTAATATGTTTTTATGCAAGTGTGACATGAAATATTTAAAAATCATATACTATGATTCATGAGATAGAGAAAATAAATGTATGTAAACTTGGAAATGGAATGGTTATTGTGACATAGACTAATGAAAGCAAAATTTGTGCTTGTTTCATCTCTTAAACAAGTAATACGAGATAATAGTAAATTGACGAGTTATATGGGATTATGTAAAGAAAATTGTGAGTGAGTATGGAGCAACGTGCTAATTTATGATGTGAAAAACATCTGATAATTATGTTATGATGAAAATGATGATAATAAATTACATGCTAGTTATGATGATTATATGCTTGGCGTGATCATTTATGGGGGGAGTTCACCTGGAAAGAGGAGTAGTGATAAATTCACGTGGTATTGATAACTCACAATTAGAATTGAAAGCCAGCTAGGTTACCAACAATTAGAATTAAGAGTTAGTTACTGTCTTGTTATTGTATGTGGATTATAATGCTTGTTATTTGAGGGATTGAAATTTAACTAATGTCCACCAATTGATGAGGAAGCTAGCTTAAGAATGGTTGCTAGTATTGTAGGGAACCGTGACTCATAAGTGAGTGTGGTAGCCTTGATCGGGCAGCTCCTCACAAGCGAAAGGCTTGGATAGTTCGATGATAAGGATGAATCCTACTAAATAACCACCAGTTTTATGTTGGAGACATTAAGAGAGTATAAGGTTGATATTAATTATGCATGTCATTATAGAGCTACGTGGTTGTTATTTTTGTGGTCTTGCACATTTTATGAAGGCACATGGTTGTTAGTGTTGTGACCCTTGCATGCTAAATAATCTAATGATCACACATGATATTTTTGTGACTATATGTATTAAGTGTTTTAACATGTGAATGTATTTCATTCAAATATATCATTTGCATTACTATAATTAATTGAGTAGTTTACTTATAGTACTAGGTGTTTTACCTTAGGTCTGAGTGGTTATACACACCCTTATTTAACATCTTTTAGGCACTAGCTCGAGTCAGAATGAAGGGAAAGTGCCAGAGGCGTAGGAACTTTATTTCCTAACTCTTTATTTTGGTTTAGATATGTGTGTAACTAATTTGACAATGCTAATTTAAAAAATTCATATTTCGATATTTCTTACACTGTATAATTATTTATGTTGATTGATTGTATTTTGGGTTATAAAATGGTGTATTATGATTCGAGAATACTGTCCAGGGTCTAAAATACTGGTGCAAGTATGGCTTTTGAGTTTAAGATTATTGTAATTGAAGATTATGAGTTTTGATGTTAAAATGCATTCTTATACGTGTTAATTTATATTTAGGTATTCAATTTGTGATTGACTTATAGTCTATAAATGAAACTAGTGCCATTAGTTGAAATTTTGAGAGAGTTTTATGAGAACACCTAAATCGCCTCAATCGAAAGTCAGATGAATATTTTGGGCATATCAAAAATTTGATCAAAAATTCTGCTATGAGTTTTGCGTTTTATGCTACAGCATAAAATGTTATGCTGCAGCATAATTAACTTCATTGAAGTGTGGTTATTGTGCCTTACATCGCAGCATATTATGTCAAAAATGTTATTTTGGCTCTCTTGACCCTAAATTGACTTGTTACCTCATACGATATAATTTTCGTGCTTTTGTATATGTTTTTATCCTATTTTAAATTAGTTTACATTTGATTTCAAAATTTAATTGTTAAACTTGAGATCCCAACTTCAAAATATTTATATTTTTTAAATAAAGT